GGAATGGCCAGGGCAGCACCAGCCCTCCCTGCCACACAACCTAGTCCACAGTGCAGAAACAAAGTGCCATGCAGGGAAAACATCACTTAATTCCACTTTCATGGAGACAGGGAGGGAAAGAAAGTGACGAAAAACAATATTAGTAAGAAATGGGGATTATATGGAACCACCTTGGCAGAGTTAGTGCAGAAAGTCCCATGCAATTTGCTGGGAAAGCAAGTGAGTGAGGAAGAAACACTGGTTAGTAAGGTACAGCACACAGACCTGGTAAGACAGATTTCAAGACAGACATTAAAACTGTGCACAGGTAAACAGCCCGCGAGCTACCCTGGTTCTGAGGTGAGAAAATGAAGGCAGCTGACACACATTTCATTGAAATGTGCTTTCTGAATGATCCAGGATAAAAAGGTGCAAAGTTTTAGGCAATTTTTCCCTCTTAAACTGAGTTTTCACGAATACTCTTTACATTTACAGTTTGTGGGACTTTTTTTCTTCAATTTCAATTGAAAACCTTTTGCTCAGGAAGTTTTGTCACCTTGTTGTCAAATTTCTCATGAATGATTAATGGCACTTTTCAACGAGTCTTTGGGTGGGCAAGGGGGGGCTGTTCCTAGGGGAGCCACGTGGTGGGCAGAAAAGCCAGACCTTCTGGAGTGGAAAGGTTTGAGCAAACAGGAACAGAGAGATGAGCCTGCAGGTTAGCTCCTGTCCTGCTGAGACAGCTCAGCTTGGCTGCTTCTCACAGGTACTGGAGAAATCCGACTTCCACGCAATATGGTTCCATGCGTGAAAGACGGGTGGAAGCCAGGCTGCCACCAGCCATCACAGCCAGACACAGCTCAGATGGGCTTTGCTTACGTGTGGTTGCAAACACCATTCCAAGGATATGCAAACCTAACACCGATTCTTCTAGCAATAACTGAGCGTGATGCAAAACTACAAAGTCAAGTGGGGCCACATGCTTGAATCGATCGGACACAACATCTGCAAATTAACCTGAGAGGAGCAGCAAACTGCCTGTGAACACAGGCTGGGAAGCAGTGCTCTACACCACCACACCACTCCTGAGCTCTCCCACAGACTTTATTTCTGCCCTTCTCCCATGACATTCATTCATTTCCAGTGCATCTGAGCCTCTGGTTCAACCCTCCTTCCTGCTGCCAATCTTCACGAAACCTGCCTGAGCTAGAGGAGACACCCTGTCTGCTGCAAAGGGATCCACTGCTGTGTTCATGCTCTGGAGGATTTTGTCCCTGAGCTGAAAAATGTGGATTAAAATCTCTCCAGAGCAGGGACACACTGCTCACACTCACACACCTTGCAAGCACTCAGCCCTGATCCATACGCCAGCCGCCTTTCCTTCCTCCTTCCTTCTGCTTCACTGCTGGTCACCAAGCATCCTCCCAGCCCTTGCCAGCGGGAGCAGAGGTACAGGCATGCCCACTGCCCTGCCTGCACATGGGGGTATGGTTACATGGAGCTTCAGAGCTGGCTGCTCACACACTGAGGGGCCAGCGAGGACATCTGCCCATGCAGGGACAGGGAGGTACACACGTGCACACGGAGCTGGCACACCAGGACTCACACCTCACAGGGACACACACGGGTACCCGTGCACAGACCTCACACACACCAGACAGTTGCAGCTCCCATGGCTTTCAGGACACACACAGAAGCCAAGAGACATTATGGCAGGCACTCACTTGGATTTGTTCTCCTCATAGTGAGCACTGGTCTTAATGTATCTGGCCAGTTCTATCTGCATATCGCCGAATAAAGGAACCACCTGCAGCTGCTGGAAAAGAAAACAAAAGATGGTTGAAACACAGCAGAGAGAGAGTCTGTGGCCTCAGCGCAACACAAGGGACTGCGAGACAGCATCCTGCATCTCAGGAGCTATGGGAAGTGCCAGGCTGTTTAAAGCAAGGTGCAAACCTAGACCTAGGGTCATTTCACACCTAGGAAGTGACTGAAAACGATCACAAGGCTTTTGGTGTGAGGAAAATTACCCCTGCGACTACTCTGGAGCCCTGGACTCACAGATACCGGGCTGGTTATAGGCAGAATGGATCAGTGCTGCAACCAGGCAGAGGAAAAGCTCTTTTACAACAAAAAGAGAGAAGCATATTCCTGAGCAGGGCTTATTGCCTCCCACCATAATCCTCCAAGAGAACAGAGGGATGAAAAGCCACCACGTTGGTATTCTGTCAACACATTGTTGCTGTAGGCTGCTTTGCTGCCTGGACTCCCAGGGATACAGCATCTTTCCCCAGGGAGTCAGATGTGTCTTAAAATCTCTCCACAAAGAGAAAGACACAGGCAATATAACACGGTTTTGCTCAATCTTTACATCTCAGGAGGATATAGATGGTAAATAAATTCCAAGTGCGCTGAACATACCTCAAGCTCAGACAGGTCCCTGCTCCACTAAGCTTTCAGCTGCGAATAAAACTGAACCAAGAGCTACTGACTTTTCTTTAATAAAATATAAAGCTTCCACTTCACCCAGCTACAAAAGCCTTTCCCCAAAATTCAGGGAAGATGGTGGCAAATTCCCTGTCCTATTATCACATACTTCTCAAGCTGACTTCAGTGGAGGATGTGTAATGCTGTCATCAGGGATTCCCAGTGGCACTTCCATAAAAGGTTTAAACGAAGGGGTAGTTCATTTTCACTACTCAAATTCCTGGCCAATCCACTAGAAATTTAATCAGAAGGCAATAAGCAGATGTAGTAAGAGAAGCAGTTGGCCTTTTCTTATTGAGATCCGAGAGTCTGGAGTGGTACTTAACTGATCAGGTGAAACCACAGCAGATATTGGAGAAGTACAAATGGAAAAAAGCTGGAAAGAAGAAAGTTACTCCATGCAGTGGAAGAGATTTTACCTGATTCACTGATGGCCCACAGCATTTTGCATCTCTTTGAATGCACCAAGATGACCAAACTCTACAGATTACACTGAGGGCTTGATTTAAGCTGACATTCTGTTGAATTAGTGAAACTGAACCAGGGAAAACTTGGAAGACACTGAGGGACGGCATGATAAATCACCTTTGCAGAGCTGCAGCCCTCAGCAGTCTCCCCACTGCCTGAAGGGTATACACCCACCTCCTCCTCACCCTGTCCATGAGGTTATGCTGTCTGTCCATAGTCCCCTATGCAGGCATTTCAGCCCTGCTCCCAGAGCTGTCTCCAGGAGATGATGCAAATTGAGGTAAATAGGTCCCCAACTCGCTCTGGGTGAGGATACACCAACCTTTCACGAAACCAGCTCTCTGGGCTTGCCCATTCCCTTCCCATTCCCCTTGCACAGACCCAGTGCATCATCTATAAACTGAAACTCAGGGCATTAAGCAGGGAGACATCCTCTACCCTGTCACAACCAACCTCTTCTTTCAGACTCCTGGGTAGATCAACAGGGAGAACCCATTCTGCTGGGACTGTGATTGGAAGGAAGTGCTCTGTCCCTACCAAAAATCATCATCTTCTCATTTTCCCTGATGTGGAACAAATGTTGGTAACAAAAATCATTCTTTCCGTCTCAGAAGAAAGATTAACACAGCGGAGGGAGAAAGACTCTGGAAGGACTGCTCAAGCTCAGTAGGTCTATAAGAAAACCAGTTGCTCCATCTAGGAAGTTATTCTGCTATTCTCCAGCTACAACTGTTATTCTTTGCTGCCAATACATGTTCCTTGCCAGATCCCACCATGCTTCCCAAAGCTGACCTGCCCCAGACCTGAAATGCCTTCTAGACCCATCCTGTGCACAGAAGCAATAGAAAGGAGGCACATTTCCCTCTGTAAATGCCGTGGGCAGTGCTGTGCAGGGTCCATCTGTCACTGGTGGCCAATGGCTCCCACACATCAGATTTGAGGGGGAAGCAACAGGGTTAACCCAAACCTTTCTCATGCTGAGTAGCCGCAGGATGCAGCCTGGCTTCCAGCTCTGGACCAGCCCATGGCTGGACTCAGCTGCACATGTGCACGGTCAGAAGGAGGTTGTACGGCTGCTTCCCAGTGAATCCAGTTCTCACGGGCTTTTCCCAAAACCCAGATCCCAGATAAGACAAAAGAGGTTCATCAAACCACCACATGAGCCCTTTGAGGAACTCACTGGGTACCTCCAAGACCCAGCCAACACAAGCTTCCCAAGAAGCATTTTCCTGTCCTACAGGGAGCACATACATGGAGTAAGACTGCCAGATCACACACTGGCTGGCCAGCCGCATCCTCTGTTCCTCAGCTCAGGAGCTTGCTGAGGGAAAGGGGAGTGCAACCATCACCCACATAGACCTCAGCAAACCAGCCAGGCAGCTGAAGGCATGGTGCTCCTCAGGAGACTGCAGACCTGCCTCAGATATGTGCAAAGATATAGAAGTGATGTCTCGCTCACCCTTCCCTCATCCACAAATCATGGTCCATCCGCCATTCCCATGTTTGCCCCTTGGCAGGAAGCTGTGGCAGGGCTGCCTAGTGAGGCTGTGCAGCATCCTCAGCTCCCACCAGCTCCCGCTGTGCTGGAGCCATGGGAATAGAGCCAGCGCCAGGCACTGCTCACCCATCCACAACCTTGCTGACACTGAGAGCCTGCATCACTCATCTCAGTGCCGTGCCCATGCATGTTCACAGCAATCCCATTCCTCACCCTTTGGCTTAGATAATTTCTCAGCCTTTAGGATTTTTGGACCTGTAATGATTCCTGTGGCTTGTTTTTTGCTGGCAGTACATGCAATGGTACAGGTCACTAACTCGTGGTCTGCAATGAACTCCAGCCTCACCCAGACAGGTCACTGACCTTGAAGAATTTGTCTATTTTGCTAAGGTTGATTCTCTTCTTGGCATCCAACTTGTAAATGTTGCTGACGTTCCCATCCATGAGATACAGGCCAAACCCCATCACCTGCAGAAGACAGGAAGGTTTCATTAGCGTCAAGTCAACAGGACAAGTCACAGACAGTTCTCCATCACTTAACATGAGGAAAGACCATTTCAGGCTCCTGTACCACCCGAGACTGTATAAAACATGCACATATCTGCAAGGATGTACATAGTAGACAGAGGACACATGGTGGATTGCTTCTGTTTTCTGTGCAAAACCACATGACATACACTTTGGTAATTTGTTCCTTCTTTCTCCCATAAAATAACAACCCAAAACCAAACCTTTACTCCCCGAGAACTAAAACCATTTTAAATATTCTCTTGGTTTGATTTTTTCCCCTTTAATTCAATACAAATCATTACAGATATTCAAACTACTCACACTATCCTTCAAAGAACCATGGTAATGAAGTTCTTACAGTAATAGTGACTGCAATCACTGTAGTAACCGACAGTAAATACAAATACACAAAACAAGCAGATACTTGTGCATGTTCATCTTGAGGACTCTCTAGAGTCAAGAAACAAAACCTAGAAGGATCTACCTTCTGCAGGGAATTATTGCTGGGAATGGCCATCAGAAAAAATTCAGGGTTGCAAAGTTGGTGGTGATTTTGGCATGTCCTGTACAGTTACCCAGGTTAAACCCATGATCCCACACATCCATGCACAACAGAAAAGCCCCTTCTAGCTCTGGGGAGCACAGGGCACCCACCAGTGCTCTCATCCAGCAGCTGGAGACCACCACCTCGCTTAGTCCCAGGCAGGCAGAGCAACCTTGGGAAGGACTGGGGGAAAAGACAGAGATGGAGAAGAGCATAGGAAGGGGAGAAAGGAAGGAATGCTTTTATATGGGAGTACAGGAGAAGGCCAGAAAGGACAGCAAAGAAACG